CCTCCCTGAACGGGGGAGAGGGGTTGCAACAAACCAGCAGACAACCAGACAGAGAAATAAAACATGGACGATGAGTCTCATTAGAGACAGGCGTACCTAGCACAACGCACTCAAGATCCTGTCCTGTCCTGTCCTGTCCATCGCGCAATAACCCTTTCTGCGTGAGTCATAAGGCGCACGCTGTGCGCTTAACCCTCTTATCACCTACCGCGTAGCCCTTCGCTTTACCCTACAACTTGCTTTCCGCTGCACCTTCAACTGCACCTCTATACCTTTCGTACCTACTCCCTCTCGCCATTCTCCTCGCCCCCTGCGTCTTCCCACTCTCCATCTCTCCATCTCGCCCTCCGTGAGGCCTCACGGAGATTCTTTCCTTAGCCAATCGTCCTCTGCCACAGTATTCGTGCCCTTCTGACTCCCATTCTCTCTCCTCTTGCTCTCCACTTCCTTCTGCTTTTCACACTCCTCTTCACTTTCCGCCGCGGCCGCCATAACATAAATGTTTGGTGAACAATATCTGCATTAAACTTGAATTAATAGTATGTGCAGAAAATGTATTTCTGTCAGTGTACAACCGCAGGTAGAGCAAGATAAGAAGTTGAGAATATTAGAAATCAAATCACTCATAGAGCCGAGCGACGAACTGAGAAGGAGAATAATTCTTTTTCTGTTTCTTAAAAATGTGACGTCATCCGGGCAATCCACTTCTAGTTGCCACCATCTTGTCTTGTGTTTCTTTCCGACCAATCAGCTACGATGCCGTCCCCACTTCTCTCATTGGACAGGAGGAAGTACGTAGGGGGCCGGCTGAGCATTTGTGATGATGTGGTCGTCGAGGCAGGACGTGATACTTGTGCGCACAGAAGTTTTAAGAAATTACACAAACCTGTTGAGTAATGATATAGTAGTTTATGACATGATAATATATTAATCATTCAATACAATATATTGCATTTAAGCAAATTTCATTCTTGTTTGGTATTTTGTTATTGTTTGGTACTGTGCTAATACTGTGACTGGCTTATGAATGAAAGTGTGAAGTACGTGATCAAAAGTTTAGACGATTAGCTTATTACGGGTATATTTGTGTGAGAAGTGAAGAAGATAAAAATGTACGTGCTTCTGTGTGCTACACACTTCAGTATGTATGTAAGTAAGACCACCAAGCGCAGCATTTATTGCGACAATTTCAGTTAGGAAATCTCTCGATTTCTTTTAGAACAGTGTGTTGCATATATTTGGCTGTGATGCGGCGTAGCAGAATGTTGGGTTTTAGGTTGTCCATGTTAAAGGACATGTTTTGTCAAACATAATTTTAATTATCGGGTTGGGTCTTCACTCAAGTGAAAGTATTTTCTTAAAAATTACTCAATACCCAACTCACTTCGCCATTACAATCATTTCTCTGTAGTACAAAAGCACGTAATGAAGATAAAGTAAAAACCGGGATATTGTTCATTATTCGCGATCCGAAATATAGAAACACACACCCAAGTTAGATGTTTTCATTGAAGTAATCGTAGCACCATTTTGTCATATGTCTGGCACAAGACGATTTAAAATGACTGCCCTCAAACTGCTAAGTGAAGAGAAGCAATATGTACTGAACTGTAGCAAGAAACCACGCTCTTTCCTCCACGATGTTGATTGGATGAATGGGTCTGAACACTTGCAGCCAAAGGGGATGTCGGGCTGTCAGACTTCTATGGGAGAGATCCAATTTGTGGAAGGCATATGTGGAATTTGTGACGGACTGTAAAGTGCTTTACGGAAGGTTATCGTGGGCTCCTACCGTTCGTCTACCATTCGTTTCACCATTGCAGTGATTAGTTTAACGACATCATGCACATTCAACACTTTTCTATCATCTCTGGCCTGTGCGTGGTGAACACTCAGGGACTGATCATCTGCATTGCTTCACATAGATTTAAAAACATTTTTCGCTCCTTCTCTCTGTCTCTCGGTGTCTCTTCGTCTGCGTCTCTGCGTCTGTCTCTCTGCGTCTGTCTCTCTGCGTCTGTCTCTCTGCGTCTGTCTCTCTGCGCTCTGCTCTCTCTGCGCTCTGCACTCTCTGCGTCTGACTCTCGCCGTCTGACCTCTCTGCGTCTCGTCCCTCTTCGTATCCGTCTCTCTGCGTCTCTCAGCTCTCTGGCTCCTCTCTCTGCGTCTCCCGTCTCTCTGAATGCGTCTCCGTCGCTCTGCGTCTCCGTTCTCTCTTGCGTCTCTTCTCTCTGCGTCTCCGGTCTCTCTGGTTCCGTCTCTTGCGTCTCCGTCCTCTCATTCGCCTCTGCACCTCCACCGCCCTCCCTCATGCCTCCGAACTCTCTTCCGCCCTTGCCTTCGTCCGCATCTCTGTCATTGACCTTTCCTCCACCCTTGTCCTCGCTTCCCACACTTACTGACGTCTTCGCTTCCAACCTCGCCCCCGCCTTGGATATTGCCCTAGCTTCCGCCCTCTTCCTCGCCAACCCCCTCGCCCTCGTTCTCACTCGAATAGTCACCTTCCCATCACATCTTTCCTCGCCTCCTCCGTCGCTTCTGTCCACACCATAGTCCTCGTCTTCTCCACCCTCGCCGCGGCTGTGGTCTCAATCCTCATCCTCACCTCCGCCTTCACCCTCGAATCCGTCCCGTTTTCCGCTCAAAGCCTCCGCCCTCCCCCTCGCCTCCACACTCGCCTTTGCATTCGTTCACTCACCATTCCTAGTGCACACGCCATTTCCCCTCCATCCTCGCCTCCACCGTTGCTCTCTCCTTAACACTTCCCTTCGCCCCACTTTCTCGCCCTCGCCTCCTGACACGCCACCACCGCGGAGGTCGCCTCCACCCTCGCCTCCTCCCACACTCTCGCTTTCTCACTTGCCCCCGCCCTCCGTCTCGTCTCTACACTGCCCTTCGCTTTCGTCCACTCTCTCGCCTTCGCTTCTGCCCACGCCATCGGCATCCCCTCCACCCTCGCCCAAGCGTGCGCCATTGCCTCCTGTATCGTTTCCGTCCTCGCCTACACCACTGCTGTCGCCTTTTCCCCCGCTCCCTTCTTTGCCTTCGCACTCGTCTTCGCCTCCACACTCACCTTCTCCGCCTTCGCCATCTCTTCCTTCCTTGCTTTCAACTCGGCTTTCGCTCAAGATTCCACCCTCTACCTGGACTCCACAAGCTCTCTCCGTCACTCACGGTTTCGTCCTCGACCCAAGCTTCCATACTCCTCTTCACCTTCACATTCACCCCCGCCCTCGTCTCGTCTCAATCACTTTCGCCCTTGTCTTCGCTTCCACCAGCGCCCTAATATCCCATCCTGCTTTTCTCCCTCGTCCCCGTCTTCGCATTCACCTCCGATTTTTTCTTCCACTCCGCCTCTATCATCTTTCCTGCTCTCGCACTTGCTCTCGAGTGGACACGGCCATCCCCTTACGTTCGATCTCAAAAACTCCCCAGCCTTGATGGTCGCCACCGCCCTCTCTTTTCCTCCACCCTAGAAACCTGTATATTCTCCTCGGCCTCCCCTCTGCTCTTGCATTGTCACGTCGCAGAGTCATTCGTTGTCATCTGAAATGTCGATTTTTGATGATTATGGGGATCAAAAGTGTTAATATTATTATTTTATGCGGCAATGGAACGATGCAGATCGACTCCAGTGTCCTAAGGCACCTTTTTCCTGTTTCGTTGCAGAGAGACATACGTATTTTAGTACAAAAATGGTAATTGCTAACAAACGAACCACTGAAGGCCTCATCAATAGTAACCAGTTACCTAAAACGAAGAAAGTACTCTCCGAAAAAAGTATCCAATTGATAACGACGCAAATATTAACAATACAACTATTCTATCTTCAAACTAAAACTTCTGAGTATGCGCTTTGTCTCACGATTGGACTTTAGAGGCAAAATACACCATTAGATGCTTCCCGTTATTTTCCATAGGCAGGAAAAATCTTGTCCTACTCAGAACAGTTTCGATATAAAGCAGCCCAACCGCAATAATTTGGACAATCCCACTTTTGTTATGATTTAAAAACGTTCACAAAAAATTTTCTACGATCGAATAAAACACATCATCACAAAATAGGAGATTATTTTGCAAAATTGCGAAAATTAGGACTAATTTTAGAGATAGAGCAATTCTCTTGCGGTCTCCCTCGCTGTCTCCCTCGCTGTCTCTCTCTCTCTCTCTCTCTCTCTCTCTCTCTCTCTCTCTCTCTCGCGCGCGCGCGCGCGCGCGCGTGCGCCATCCTTAGCCTTGCCCACTAGTTCACCCTCCACTCGGCCCTCCAATCGTTCTCTTTCGCATTGCTCTCCGTCGCGCCCTCCGCCGCGCCCTCTGTCGCGCCCTCTGTCGCGCCCTCTGTCGCGCCCTCTGTCGCGCCCTCTGTCGCGCCCTCCGCCGCGCCCTCCGCCGCGACCTCCGCCGCGCCCTCCGTCGCGCCCTCCGTCGCGCCCACGCCACTCTCCACTTCGCGGTTTGCCTCATCCACCTCGCATCCACACAGACAAAAAATAATAATAATATATACAGAACTATCAGTGTACTGTGAGGTAGCGGAAGAAAAATAGTAGAGACGTATAGAAAAGGGAGGAACCGAGCGACGAAGTGAGAAAGTGAAAAAAAAAGTTTGTTCGTTTTGTAAGAATGTGACGTCATCAGAGGACGCCATCTTCCTGGCGCCGCCATTTTGTCAGACTACTCTTTCTGGCCAATGAGCAATGTTGTCGCCCCCACTTCTCTACTTCGCCGGGAGGAAGTACGCAGGAGGCTTGCTGGACATTTGTGATGTGGCGGTCGTCGAAGCAAGGTTAAATATTTGTGCGTGCAGACATGTTTAATTATTATTCAAACTAAGGTGTTGTGATTAGTTTCATCATATATTATTAATTCAATATACATAATGCATCTGAAACTAGGCGATTACTGTGTTGAACTTATAGACCAATTTGTTTAGTGCGTTAATGAATTCGATATTAAATTAGACTATATGTGAACTAACAATGAATGAGCGTGTGCAGTGAAGAAAATGAAAATGAAATGATGGTGTGTGCATCATACTTCTGCATGTAAGTCTATCGTCAACTACCGCATTTATTGCGCCTAATATAGTTAGGATATTATGCGATGTTTCTCTGGCAGGGTATTGACATATTCGGTTGTAATGGGGTACATGACAATGTGTTTGTGCAGGAAAAATTGTGTGAAATATGTTTTTAATTATTGGTCAGGGTGCAAAACAATTTGTGAAAACGTTTAATTATATTCTTGATGTGCCCTGTATGTGCCATTGTATAATAAAATATTCTGTTCAGTGTCCGCTCTCTATGCAGAAAATATTTTAAACTGATTCTGCTTAATTCTACGAATTTGTTGCTATCATTCTGCGCAATTACTTCCGATGAATCGTTTTAATTCTACAAGAAGACTTTATTGACGTAGTGATGACATGCGAGTATTAACGTAGGGTGATGGGGAAAGAGTTTGACTACAGAATGTGTGATTGCCTAGAAAGACACCTCGGAAGTGTTGGTGAATCCTTGATTCTCATTGGATTTCACATTGTGATATACATTTAATATTTCGATGAAACAGACAATGATTCTTCAATGAACAGTATTTTTGCAGAAGAAAGGCACCTGTCAGTATAGAGCGAGGCTGTATACCAAAACATAGATACCTGCTTTACTTTGCTATACTTTTGAAGACGCCTTGTTGTTCTGATAATTCATTTAAAGAATAATTGGCGAGTAATAACTAGTGTAATAGGAAATTATTTTACCCAAAATCGGTGTATTTGGATTGAAGAGGCTTTTTGGCCCAGAATTCGGGCTAGCATTATTAAAGAGAATATCAATATCGTTTGGGTATCTGACGTGTCCTCGTGAACTATTAACATTCGTATATCCACATGCGGCCTTTTCATTGCTTTTATAAATGAGGAAATAGCCGATACGACGTACATCGTCGCAGGAGGCAGGTCGGGGTCTTATTACAAGGCAACGCTGCGTCACAGTCACGTGTTTTTCCGCGGAAAGAACTATCCAGATATTCCACTGGAGACATTTGATACTTCTGAGCATTTCAAATTTCCTCGAAGATATGACGCACTTCGACGCTGACGTGACGCCGTCCCTTCGTTTTCTCCTTCATTCTAGAGACTGTCTTAAGGCGTGTCTTGAAGTAATCCATTCATTTAACCCTATAATTGTGGTGCGGGATTTAACACTGTCTTTTGGCACGTTGGTTATTCTCTGTTGCTCATGTGACGAGTTCGACTTGCTAATTTTTATTTTTGGCATAAATGAACTGAAGATGTGAGAAGAGATCAAACCTGCCAGCTTGTTTAATCCTACTGCAGCAGTATCCGTTCTTTGCCGCTTCATTTCTTTTGGAATAGCACATGTCTAGCATTCCACTCCATTATCTTCCTAGTAAGATGTGGTAGTGAAATCTCCAAAACGTAGAGCTTATTTATAGCCAAATACGGTATTCCCGTGGTGTAATATGTCCAAATTTTTTGCTTCTATTTTCTCGTTTCTCACCAAATTATTCCATCCCCTGTTCAATATAATCCTCCCCGACGAGAGGGTGCCTTTGCAAACTATGACTGTAGATGAAGGTAGAGATGATGAGTTACATTATTTAGAAGAGAGATATGGTGTTTGGAGATTGATCGAGCAATGAAAAGAGCAGTCCGTCTGAAAACGCCGAGAAACCATATTTTTCACTATATTTTTATCTGGTGGGTGTTGCATTCTTGTGCCAGCTGGGAAGGCGTGCAGACAAAAGGCCACAGTAAAGTTTCAAATGGAAATTGTGGTGTCCTCCGGATCCCCTACCTTTCGTTGCACAATTGGTCCATCATTATTTAAACCACATCATCTACATATTACTCCCTTCTATCATCTGGCAAGTCCGTGGTGAAAGCATAGGTGATGATCATCTGCATTGTCTTCAGCAGCTTGGAAAATATGTAGTATGATTGTCCATCTCGGCTACTCCGGTTCTTCATCCGCCTTTGTCCGCAACTATACCCTTTTCCCGCTCTCGCATTTACGCCCGCTGGCGTATTTATCCTTGCTTCTAAACAGTTTTCGCCTGCACCCTCCTCACGGCTCTCGCCTTTGCACTCATCTCCGCGATCACTCTTGCTTCCACACTCGCTGCCACAATCGAATTCGCCTCACCCAAGCCACGCCCTCGCCTTCGCCTTCGACTTTGGTCTCTCCATCGTCCTGGCATCTTCCGGCCTTCACTTTGCCATTTTCTTGGCCCCCATCATCACCGTCGTCATATTCTCCGCTTTATTTCTCAAATCCACCCTCTTCCTCGCCACCGCCATCGCCTCTACCTTCGCCCTCGGCTCCACCCTCACCCTCTCCTCCACCAGCGCTCTCATCACCGCCCTCACATCCCCCCTCTCGCCATCGACTCTCCTCTCGACTTCGGCCCCCTCGCCATCATCCCTTCCTTACCCTTGCAATCGTCACGGCGCGCATCCCCTCCGCCTTGCGTCCTCTCTGCCAGCAACCCGCGTCTTTTCGCACTCCTCTCCTCACCTCCACCGATCTCCCTCGTCTGACCTCTCGCCCCACACTCTCAGCCCTCACCATAGCTTAGCTCATCTATTGAGCTCGTCTCCTCTCTTTCGTTCTCCTCATCCGCGCCTAATTTCCGAACGCATTCACCGTGCTGCTCTTTCGTCGACAACGCCTCCCTTCACCATCGCCCTGCCCTTTGCACATACACTCGCCTTCGACACAGCCACCGCGTCTGCCCTTGGCGTCTGCCCCCGCCACTCCCTTCTCCGTCCCCCTCCACCTCTGCCTCCGCCGCTCACCCCGCCTCAAACTCTCGCCCTCCCTTCTTCTCTCCGTTCTACTCCACCCCGCGCCATCGTTGCATCTTCGCATTCGCCCTGGGTCCTCCGTTGTCGCGTTTCGACACCGCCTCGCCTCCACCATCGCCCTCCTCGCCCATTACACCTGCATTGGACAGCCCGTCTGCCAAATTCCGTCGCTCCCGCCAGACCCCAGCCTTCGCCGTTTCCTCCGCCCTCTTCCCTGCGCCTCCGCCCTCTCCGTCCCCTCAGCCCTCGCACCGCCTCCGCCTCTCCCTCTCCCTCGCCTCCGCCCTCTCCGTCCCCTCTGCCCTCTCCCTCGCCTCCGCCCATTCAATCGCCTCGTCTCGTCCTCCCGTTCTCCTCACCCGCAGCCATCGTTGCCATCTTCGCAATCGCCCTGTCCTCCGTTGTCGTTTTCGACACTGCTCGCCTCCACCATCGCCCCTCCCTCGCCCATACACCTGCATTGGACAGCCCCCGTCTGCAATTCCGTCCGCTCCCGCCAGCACCCCAGCCTTCGCCGTTCCCTCCGCCCTCTCCCTCGCCTCCGCCCTCTCCGTCCCCTCAGCCCTCTCACTCGCCTCCGCCCTCTCCCTCTCCCTCGCCTCCGCCCTCTCCGTCCCCTCTGCCCTCTCCCTCGCCTCCGCCCATTCAATCGCCCTCGTCTCCGTCCTCCCGTTCTCCTCCACCCGCGCCATCGTTGCCATCTTCGCAATCGCCCTGTCCTCCGTTGTCGCTTTCGACACTGCCCTCGCCTCCACCATCGCCCCTCCCTCGCCCATACACCTGCATTGGACAGCCCCCGTCTGCAATTCCGTCCGCTCCCGCCATCACCCCAGCCTTGGCCGTCCCCTCCGCCCGGCCGGTCCGCCACCATAGGTATCTGCATTCAGCTCTGACCTTCGCTTTGTCCTCGTCTGCTTGTCAACCCTATCCTTCACCGTACGTGTAGTGCATGTATTTTATTGTGGAAGGTGGCGGTGTCGATCTATACGTCAAGTTGTGGGGTTTTTCCCAGGTAGATATTCACCAGCGGTGCACCAGCCCGGAAGGGGCAAGCTCTAAGCACCTGACCAACCCACCCACCCTACCAAGCGTCTACTGACATTTGGTATCGATCAGACCATATAAGTTTAAAGTGTGTGTGTGTGTGTGTAAGTGTGTGTGGGTGTAAGTGTGTGTGGGTGTAAGTGTGTGTGGGTGTAAGTGTGTGTGGGTGTAAGTGTGTGTGTGTATAGTGCTTAGATGTGTAAGTGTAGACGATAGGACAAAAAAGGAGAAAAAATATCGCGCGCGATCCGCGGCCCGTATAATTTTCCCCTACACTGCTGCTGAACTCGACGGAGATATCTAGCTAGTGTCGAAAATCCTGCCACCGTCGGGATTCGAATCCTAGGACCTCCCGGGTCAAAGGCGCTGCCGTGCCCTCAGATGATGCCAGCTAAGCCGATCTGTTCGCGAGGGCGCAGTGCGGTCGACGGCGTGAGGTGACCGATGCGAGTGGCCTGGCGCTGCTCGGTGATCCGAAGAACTTGAACGAGCGGGCTTTATTGAGAAAATTGACACGGAACAACTGCTCTTACTCTTTGCAGGGAAACACTGCGATCAAAAACAACGAAGTTGACAGATTTACCCCGAATGATCGCTAAAAGCAATTACTGAATATTTCTCCCTATTCATTAGATGAGAACGCAATACACAATATGATTTGCACGATTAGTAATTTAATTTAAAACGAATTTTGTCAATCTTTTGATGAAATATTATAACAAAAACATGAAATGAGAGAATCTTTTTTAATGTACCAGGAATTGCAAAGGAAAGTACTTTTTAAAAGCTTGTAAATGGATATTTAGATAGCATTTTTATTCTTTTTTTTTTCAGATTCTCCACGTATTTGCTCTTCACGTACTTGCTCTTCACACATCTCTTCTCCATCTTGAAGAGGACATTGCATTGCCTCCCTGAAGAGGACTACAAAGGTAGGTGCCTCAACGATGCGGGTCAGAGTCAGCAGTAGATGAGTACAAAATGTCGTGCATTACGACCGCGGGGGGTAGTACACAACGGGAAGTACACTTCATTTCTGTTACAAGTACACAGGGATCCCCTCTGTATCTGAAACGATATTCTTAGTCAGAGAACGATAGTCGACGATAAGATCGACTTTCGGATCGGATTCGGATCGGATTTGGTGTTCAAAATTATTCACGCTGGTGTCCCGAGTTTTGAAACTTCTACGTAAGGTTATTGAGAGGCAAATTCACAATCTTGAGCATAGTGGTAGGACGGTTTAACACAATTTGAAATTTTCAGAAAAAATTGGGTTTTCGTTGTTCTGCAGTCTTAGTGCACAGGAGGAAAAATAAAATTAGAATTCACCCGTAATGAGAAAATATTGTAGTATATACCATTTACAAATTAAATTTCAAAACATATATGATATTTTTATGTGATCTTCTGGCATTTAATTTACGAAATCTTAACATTTCAGTCAATTTTCATTTACCAATGTGGATTATTGATAAAAAATATAGTTTTTATCCGAATCCCTTGTAGAATTTACAGATCACTACATATAGACAAAATTTATACAGAATACATATATTCAAAATTTTTAAATACAGGTGTAAAGTTTTGTTACTGAAAAACACAAAAAATGGGGGGGAAATGTGAACATTATAGGCAGATTTAGAGGCAAAATAAGTTTGTTACAGATTATGCGTAGTACCAGCTGTAAATTTAAAGAATATGAAAATTTATTGTTGAAAATAATGCCGCTGAAGTGTATACAAACATTTTAATTTAGAGTAAAAATCAAAATATTTTATAATATACTGTGTGAAATGAGAGTTCTTTTAATATTATTTTGTGAAGACATGAAAGACAATGCATCTAGTTTGTAATTAATTAATTCGTTCATTCATTCTCTCATTCCAAAAGAATAAATCCAGTTGCTACATTTGGGTGGCGAAATCCTCTAACACCTAGTGTAGCTAGTATCCATGTTTTGAGGGTCCGTGATAAGTTAAATTGAATGACGGCAAAATATCTGTACGTCCGGCTGTCTGTCTGTCCGTCTGTTAACAACGCTAGCGGCTAATCCGTTTAGCCCATTTTCTCCAAAATTGATATTTTGCAGTCGATATGGCTGATGACGCAGCTCCTGGAATTTAATACCGATATTTTAATTTTGGGTGGTACTTTACATGGAGCCCCTGCGACAAAATCCAAATTTACAAAAAAGTCATCGTTTTTTAATAAATTTTGTTGTTGGATAGTGCAAAGAATGTTTGAGAGAATGGTGTAGGTTTTAATTTTCTTAAACTCTCTGGTTTTTCGAAAATTGCAAAAATTCAACATTTTTTGACGTCTTCTTATAACTACAATTATGAACATATATATTTTCCCTTTATGAACTAAAGACAGATTTTCAAATAATGTCATGTACATTTTTTCGAAAATTTGAGTCATTTTTGCGTACGGGTGAGAAATTACGTGCTGTTTTAGCACCACTAGTGTTTTATTAATTTTTTTTAAAAACTTAATGTTTGTAACAAAATTTTCAGCTTCCGGGTCAATGACTCCCATCTCGATCAGGTTCGAGTGTCCAGTTTTCCTTATCCATTGAGCAAATGCTAAGATGGCCCCTTGTTTTGCTTCTGGACGTAAATGTAACTTCACTATGCGCACGTTTTGTTGAACTGTCCTTTTGTTTGTAATGGTAAGAGTAGAGGTAAGGGCGAGTTTGTTAGCAATGCAGAAAAATCAAACTTGTAATTCGTGTACCGATGCAAATAAGTTTTCTATTACTCAGAAACAAAAATGACTATTTTTCAATTATTGCTAATCTTGCAATTTAAAAAAAATATTTTTAAAATTTATTTTTATTTATTTATGTTAAATTTTTACTGATCTTTCAACTATGTACAGTTAAAAAGACGGGAAGGGATTCTGGAACTAAAGAAAACGTGCCCAGATAATCTTTTCCCCCCTACGTCGCATACAGTTTTTACTGTTTTTTGACTGAATAAATCAAATCAAATAAAAAGACAGGCTGGAGTGAAGTATACGGTACAACCTAACGAGGTCGTTTAAACCGGCACTTCCCGCCGCTCCGGCGAAGGGGAAATCGACGGTGGAGGGGACGAAGGGAGAGTAGGGGATTATGAGGGGAATCTTTCGGTGGGGAGGAGTGGTCAGCAATATGCGTAACTTACTACTTATATACAACAAGCAAAGCGTGGGCGATTAAAATAAATTGTAAAAAATACACTTCTGAAATAATTTTAATGGTTCGTAATTGGTCACGAACGTGACGTCAAAAGTTAGGGGTGGGGGAAATTTCACCCTAATATCTTGTCGAAACTTCATTACGAAACGGTGTGTGGTGGGACGTAAATCGTGTCGTAAATTTTGTGTTAGTTTGCTGTCGATGTGTTTAGCTACGTTGCTGTCGTACAGTTAATTTTCTTGCCTTCGTCAGATTCTTTGCTATTTGTGTTTTTGAGTGTCGAGTGTCTGTGCTACGATGGTGAGAACAAATGTGAGTTTTTTTGGACGTTGCCCCAAACGAGGTGTTTGACTGTCATTGAATGGGCGCAAGAACGTACTTTGATTGCTGTGGGTTTCAAGTGTGCTGTGTGTAAGTGAGCTATAAGGTTCGCAAAGCGAAAGAAGTTGTTTTATGGTTTGGAGTGGAAGTGTAGAAACAAAGGGTCCACTCCTCATGTGCGTACATGCTCCGTGCGGAAGAGGCCATAGTTTGCGAGGAACAAGGAATGTCATCTTTGGGTTCTAAAATCGTCAAATCATAACATCCATCAGTCAAGCCGCCGGCTGAAATGTAGTATACGGTACAACCTAGGGAAGTCGTTTAAACCGGCACTTCGCGCCGTTCCGGCGTTAACTAGGCAGTTAGAATTCTGGAGGCTTTCTTGAAAAGTGATGTCTTATAAAAGTGAATTGGTAATTATGCGGTGCATAGAATCAAGGATGTTTATAGTGAACGCGAGTGCCGAAGGCCCGAGCCTCGCCGCGACTTGGCTCCGGGCGAGCGAATCGAGTAAACTTGCCTTTGAAAATAAATTGGCGTTACAATGCGGCGGGGACAAAGCGTATGAAGGGCGAACCATGAAAATCTCCTATCCGTAAGTTTTATTCATTTCTATTAGAGCACGTACAATAATTAGGGCTTAAGCCCCGCCGCCACGCTTCTCTAAGGGTGTACCGTCTACTAAATTTTAACCAAATCGCCTATCGGTAAGTTTCATTCATTTCTGTCTGAGCGCTTAGCGTAATTTGAAGGAGGGCTAGAGGTGACCCCTCCTCCCCTTCCCCTCCCATCCTCCTCCAACTTCTCTAAAGGTGTACCGTGTACCCCAATTTAACCAAAAGACAAATGTAAACAAACAATATTTTGTGAGTCTGGTTCTTTTGGAGGTCCATCTTCCGTAAACGCATCGTATCCTTTTGCCACTAGAATGCTATACATGTGATAAGAATTTTGTGACTTTTTGAAAAATTCTTTTTCAGTAATATTTATTCTCTACTTAAGTTTTTTTGGAGGGGTTGACTGTGATTACTTAGCTGCGGTTGTGAAGCGAGTTGATTCTGCGGGGCATTTTGAAAATCTTGTTGCTGCAACTGCGGAATACTTGTGTACTTTTCATGAAGCTTTTGTAAATGTTTTTATTGGTCTTTGATAATTTTGCATTGTTGCTCGGTTTGAAGTCGGGGTTTGTGGCTCTTGATTTTCTTGTAATACTTGTTAGACGGCAGGAGCTCCGCCATGACTATGCTTGTTTTAACACTTATATTACAATTATTTAATACTTCTTGAACAATTTTAATTGCTTCACCTATCGATCCTTTACTTTGAGTCATTCTTTACTTTGTCCTTTATTTTGTGCAATAACGTGGAGGTCAGTATAATATTCGCGATAATAAATTCGTTGTGCACTGGATAATACTCAGACCAGGACCAGAGCATAAACATTTACTTACTAACCGATCGCACCTATTGTATGCTAAATTTAATACTGCACAAAGAAACTAAATCAGAATTCGTTAGTTGCTAGCCGCTTAGCACTAACATTGTGACCACTTCGATGTGAACTTGCGACGTTTATTATGGAGCTGCGCACCGCAATGCGAACGCTATCGATTCTCTCGGCAAACTGATAAATATTCTGGAATATTACAAACATCCCCAGATCGCGAACCGGTGATAAGAAAATTAAAGTATATTGAGTGATAGATCAAACTGAAAAAAAAGTCAGTAAAACTAATCACTTGCCGTAAAAAGTATTCCGATTTGATGAATGCAGCCCAAGTCAGGAACTATTTTTCAATCTGGACGGCTCTTTCCTACTCGATATGAACAATATGGAATCTCAGAAACGTAGAATTCGCTATGTTACGGCGTTAAATAATAGTTTTTAATTTGATTTTTAAATATCATCCTAAAAAATCATGTGAGAAGAAATTTTGAATGAAATGAATTCAGGTAATAATTTAAAATGACATATCCAACGTCATGACAGTATCCTTGTGAAGAACGATAATGGTAATGCATTAAAACACGTTAATAATTATTTCAAAGAGATACAGAAGTGAATTTTATAGTTCAGTAAAATGTATGCCTCAGTATTTTCTATTTAAAATATTTACAAAGAACTTACTTAATGTATTCTATTGCTTACATTTAACCATGACGGTCATCGGCGGTGTGCTGAAGTAGCAGAAGTTTTGGATTTTCAAATATTTATTTGTGAAATTATTTTAGCCTTTAAAAATTAAATCCATGGAAAATTAAGATTTTGAAACAAACAGTGCGAATCTCAATACACAAACGTGAATCTAACCTAATGATATTGCTTTTTCTATTTAAAAATGTTAAATATCAGAAAAACGTCTTAAAACTCATCCATTTTCAGACGATTATAGAATTAATTCGATATAAATGTTTAAGTGATTAAAA